CGCCTCCTCCTTCCTTCCCCGCAGGCTCTCTGGGACACGTAGGCCCTGGCGGGGGCTCCGGCCGCTCCGCGATGGTGTCGGTGACGATGGGTGAGTCCGGGCGGGATGAGGTTTAATCCCTGGGAACGCGCTGGGAAATGCCGAGCGCTGGGAAGCGCCAGGAAAGTGGCTGCTGTCCCCCGCACGTGCCGTTCCCGTGGTGGAATCCGCTCTCGTTCCTTCCTCCTCTCACTGAGGTGTTTTTTCCAGCCACATCGGAGTGGATTCAGTTTTTCAAGGAAGCCGGGATTCCTCCGGGCCCCGCCGTCAACTACGCCGTGATGTTCGTGGACAACAGGTGAGGCCGTGAAGAGAACGGGATTGACAACGGGATGTTCTCGCCGGAGATTCCCCCCGGATGCGGGAATGCCCGGGCTCTCCCTGCCTGTTAAATCGCTCCGGAGGGATCCGGACCCTGTGCAGGTGGTGGCCGCTTCCTGGTGACAGCGGGACCTTGGCAGCCTTGTGACTTCCAGCCCTGGAATTCCGGGGCGTCTGGGCTATTACGGACCTCATGGTGAGGGAGGAGAGAGGGGTAACCCCAACATCCTGGTTTCTTTCCAATCTGCTTAATTAGCTGTGTTAATTATGAATCCAGGCCAAGTTTCTCTTTCTTGTCCCTGTTTCCTTCTGTACCGGCCCCTGGCTTCCATCCCGGGCGGATCCCAGGATCCCCGTGCTTGCTCTGGCTGTAATTAATCCGAGCTCCTCCAATGCAGGGCATTAGGGGACACGCAGGGAAGTGTCCCCTGCTGCCACCTGCTCTGCCCTTTGTCCTCCGTAGGATCCAGAAGAACATGCTGCTGGATCTCAACAAGGAGATCATGAACGAGCTGGGAATCACGATAGTGGGGGACATCATCGCCATCCTCAAACACGCCAAAGTCGTCTACAGGCAGGTAGGGCGCTCCTCGGGCACTGCTGGCCCCGGAATTGTTTGTATTTATTAAAAAATTAAGTGAAAAACTGCTTTTTTTGGTCGCCAGGCTGCTGGCGTCATCGTCTCTCCCTGTTTTCCGCAGGAGATGTGCAAGGCGGCTACGGAGTCGCTGTGCCCGAGCCCGCCGCGCGCTCAGCCCGAGCCGCGCCG